ACTTCTCTAGTACTAGAAGAGGGTAGTGGTGAAAATAGTGAGTAAAAGATATATAAAAGATTTGAAGAAGTTTCATCAAATATTTTAAAGTATTATATTAATGATAGGAGTGGATATTTCAATGATCTAATGAATAGAATAGATGCTAAGTGGTATGAAATTTGGATTGGAGAAGATATTGATTATAAAGTTGTTGATGAATATGCTTTAAATCTCATTACTGAACTTATTATCATAAAACAAGATCTCCACATTTATGCAATGAGTAAAGAGAGTCAATGTATGTCACAAGTTGTATTAAATTTACTTAAAGCCTTTGAAGAAGTTACAAAAAAATCTACTAATGAAGTTATAGAAAAACAAACTGGTGAAAAAGAATCAACAGTAGTTTGTCTTCGTTGGTTAATGGGTGCAGAGTTTATTGTCGAGTCATGTAAACCTCTCATTCAAAAAGATAACGAAACACTTAACCAGATTGAAGAAGTTCTCTCAAACATGAAGAACATGATTGGCATTGAGTCAGAAAATACTAAAAATCAGAGGTCCACAGCTGTTTCAAATACTATGAATAAATTTGAAGCTCTTATTTGTTCCTTTAAACTTAGTGCTGCTGTTAATGAAGAGAAAATGGGTAAAATCACTAGGGTTCGTGACCAACAAAGAAACATTTCATGTCTTGATGTTCCAATGGAAAAGAATTAGTTATAAGAGAATAGACCATTTTTAATTTTTTAGAAACGTAGTAGGATTTTTGTCTTTTTTTTTATCATTTATAATATCAGTGTTTACAATTATCATAAATATTTTCAAAATATGAAAAAAAAACAACAAAAAGTATGTTTAAAAGTTAAATTATTAAATTATAATAATATAATTAAATAAATAAAGAATATACTTTTTATTGAAGTAATGAGAAAAATAAAAAGATTAAGAATGAAAAAGTTTAAATATAATTAATTAATAAATTTGAAATCATTTAAGAAAAAGTTAATTTGATAATGTTATAAGTATATTTTATTATTATAAAATATTAGTTTAATTGTATTTTTGCATTGTTTTAATTTGACTAACTCTTCTTGATTGGTATTATATTATATCATATACTTATACTTTCTTTTTCATCTTCTTGTACTCAATTATTATATTATTATTTTCTATCTATTTTTCTGATTTATTCTTTTTATTTGATTTGTTATTCGATTTATTGTGATTTAGATTTATTTTATTTAATACTGTATTTCTTATTTTATGATTATTTAATTCGTATGTGTTAATTTAATTAATAAATATCATTTTCATTAATTATTATTAATTGTATTAATGCTATTTGTAAAATTTATTAATATCTTTTTAAACTAAAATGAATTTGAATTAAATAAATAATATTAATATAATTGAATTGATACTATGATGATATAAATATTTGATATATTAACATTAACTATATTAATAAATTTGATTCAAACAAAAATACAATTCATAAACTAACAACAAGGTTATTAACTGATTCATTATCATATTTAATAAACAATTTCAAATAAAGATAATAGATATAAATATAAAATACGAGTGAATATAATAAAAGAATAAACAACGATAAATAAATATTTAATTAAGGATTAATAAATTTAACCAGTGGTTTAGATGAGAATTTATTCACATCCTTCATCTCTGAAGATTCTACTTTTTCTTGTTCTTTTTCATTTCTGTGTTCTCCAGAATGATCGCTATTTTATAGGATCTTTCATATTTGATATTAAAATAACTTTATCCATTACTTCCTATGAAATTTTAAAGAGAATAAAGAATGATAAGAATACACAAATTGATAATGATAACCAAATATAAATAATTTTCATTAAACTAACAATAAAACAAGTACTTAAAACAATAAATCAAAACAACAAAGAATATAAGAATTGTTATAATATCGTTTGTTTGAATGTTGTTTCCCGATAAAAATAATAAAAAATTGGAAAACAAATGATGATAA